AGCCGAAGACAGATGCTTAACGACTGAGCCACCCAGGCGCCCCTCAAATAAATAAAGTCTTTAAAAAAAAGAGAGAGAGAGATACTAGAAAGCCTCACTTTAGAAAGTGACACTTGAGGAGAGATGTAAGGAAGCAAGGGAGTCATGTGGATATGGGGGAAGGGACACCCCAGGTAGAGAAGTCAGAGCACAAAGGCCTTGGGACCAGGGTGTTGTCTGGTTCTTTATGAGGAACATTAAGGAAGCCTCTGTGGCGAGGGCCGAGTGAGTGAAGGGGAGATTGGTTTGGGCAACTCTGTTCTTTAGAGCTGCTGTTTACTAAGAGGAAAGAGACTAGGAGTGTCAGGTTTACAGAGTGGGAGGTGGGGATAGGGGTGGTTAGAAATCAGAAGTTTGGTTTTGAGAATATTCTGAGATGCTACATAGACATTCAAATAAGATTTTGGATGAGTAATTGGATGTGTTTAGAGAGGTCTAAGATAGAGATATGAATGGAAATTGTTAGCATGTAGGTGGTATTAAAGCCAGAAAACTAGATGAGATTACCAAGCAAGTGAATGTAGAGAGAGAAGAGAAGTTCAAGTACTTAGCTCTGGGGTGCTTCATTATATAAAATAGTGATTCTCAGCCCTTTTTCTTACCCCCACCCTAGCCTTTGTAGACATTTTTTTCCCGAACCACTTTTCCATGGAATTTCACTACTACAGATATACTGTATGAGTGTATGTATATAAGTGCTTTATCCATAAAAAGATTGTTTTGCCTTCAGAACCATTTTTCACCTCCTTAAAGGTGGTATTACAGCTGTCTAGATGGTGATTTAGAGGTTGTGAAAATGAGGAGGAACCAACAAAGTGAGCTGCCAGTGAGATAGGGGCACCTGGGTGGCTCAGTTGGTTAAGCGTCCAACTCTTGATTTTGGCTTAGGTCATGATCTTGGGGTCTTGGGATCGAGCCCCTCATCAGGCTTTGTGCTCAGCAAGGAGTCTGCTTCTCTCCTTCTCCCTCTCCCTCTCCCTCTGTTTTCTGTTTCTGTCTCTCTCTCAAATAAATAAATACATCTTTTAAAAAAAAAAAAAAGAACTGAGATAAAGTAGTGTCCTTTAAGCCATGTGGAGAGAGGAGGGAGTGGTCAACTGTGGCAGACAGTGCTGATAGGTCAAGGAAGAGGAAGACTGAAAATTGACCGTTGGATTTGGTCACATGCAGATCATTGAGTGTTAAAATTCGTAACACGAATTGTTAAAAGTGTAATGGTATTCAGTTAGACTGTTGCATGTCAAGAGAAGCTAGCAGAGTAAGCAGAGAGAACACTTGTGAACAGGTACTTCAAGGTGTTTTATGGTAGAGGGGACGGGAGAATGGGACAGTAGCTAGAAAGTGGGTCAAGTGAGGATGTTAAAAGATAGGATATTATAGCATATGCAGCATATTTTTTAAATTTATTTATTTGAGAGACAGAGAGCAAGCTGGGGGGTGGGAGAAGGAGCAGAGGGAGAGGGACAAGCAGACTCCACTCAGCGAGGGGCCAGACACAGGGCTCGATCCCAGGACTCTGAGATCATGACCTGAGCTGAAACCAAGAGGTGGACGGTCAACCAGCTGAGCCACCCAGGCGCCCCTGCACAGCATATTTTTATGTTGGTGGAATGGTCAAGTACAAAGAGAGAAATGAATAATTCTAAGGAAAGAGAGGGAACGGTTACTACATCCATGAAAAGGTGAGAGGAGATGAGATGCAGAGCCCAGTTGAAAGGGTTGGTCAAGGTTAATCACATTCATTTAATGTGAGTACAAAACTTATGCTCTAAAAGCTAACAAGTCATTTCATAGTTGTGTGTGAGACAGAGAGTATGTGTACATGTGTATAGACAGACTGTCTGGCAAAGGGTCCTGGAGACATAACACTGAGTGTGGCAGATCCTTATTTGTCTACACTATGGAGCGCTTTCTCGTCTGCTGCTGCCAGGACTTTGCTCCCTCAGTTGTCCTCCTTTCTTATATCTCCACCTTCTCTGCATGTTTGTTCTTTTCAATATATGCATATGTTACCTTCTATCTTTTAAAAATAACCCCTCTCTCTTTTTTTTTTTTAAGATTTTATTTATTTATTTGACAGAGCGCGAGAAGGAACACAAGCAGGGGGAGTGGGAGAGGGAGAAGCAGGCTTCCCATGGAACAGGGAGCCCTATGCGGGGCTTGATCCCAGGACCCCAGGATCATGACCTAAGGCTGAAGGCAGCCGCTTAATGACTGAGCCACCCAGGCGCCCCAAAATAACCCCTCTCTTAATTGTCTCCATCCTTAGCTACAGCTTCTGTTCAAAGCTGAAAAAAGTGGTCTGTGTTCAGTAGCTCTTCTGTATTATCTCCCATTCATTCCAGTTGAATCCAGTAGGGGAAGAATTCCACTCTTCACCTCTTCACACCCCAGCGAGAGAAAGAGAGAGTGAGAGATCCCTCACTGGCCTATCTGGGCTTATGTCCTACTATAGTTACATCTTTTGCATTTTGATTTCCAGCAATTCACGTATCTGAACCCTTACACATACTTAGAGTCCTTCCCTCTGTCCCTGGGCCCAGATGACCTGTCCAGGTCCTCTTGTTCTCAAGGGGTCAGCTTAGGCATCACTTGCTATAGCTTTCCCTGATAACCCAAGGCAGATTTAGGAGTTTTTCCTTTATGTTTAAATCACTCCTTATGTACCTTTAATGTTTATCACATTTTATTGCAATTCTCTTTTTTACCTTTCTGTTTCACCTGTATCAGCCCTTATTAAACTCTTTGAGGACAAGAACCTTTTTTTCTTTTCATCTAGTGCCTAGCACAATGCCTCAAACATAATATGTGCCCCATAAATACCTGTTGATTTGTTGAAACTCTGTACACATAAAACTTTGTAAAATACTTGAACACAGGTGATTTCTGTTTTTAGCTTTAATCTTGAAAATTATGCAGTGTTGAAAATCTCTCCCACAAAGTATGTTTTCATGAAAGATACTATAAATATGGTTTTATATTCATGCCATATCTTAAACTACAAGAAATCCATCACAATTATATATGATTTTTTAGGGTTTTTTTCAGTGTCAATAAGAAAAATAATCTGCACATTGCATTCCATTCATTTAGGAAAAATAGAAAATCTTAGCTGAAAAAATTTGGCAAATGTAAATGCTAGATACCTGCAGTTTATTGCCATTTATGATAGATATTTTGGACTTTTTTGCACAGAATTTTTAAATTGTCCAGTGCCATCTGTAAAGTGGTTCTTTGAGCCTCTTTTTTTCCTTTTTTGTATTTTTCAATACATCTCATTTCTGCAATTATATAATTGTGGGGTTTTTTTTTCTTATTTAGAAACACATGGAACAAGCAATTGTCCTACTGATAAGTCATCTTTTAATTTAGCTACAGTTGTTGCTGAAACACTTGGATTTAGTGTTCAAGAAGAATCTGTAAGTAATTGTTTAGTTTGGTGATAATATGAATTAATTGGTATCCTTTTAGGTCGGTTTTTAGAGAATTGAGCAAGAGAAAAGTTACTTTATCCAAGGATCAAGGGATAAAGGCCTAGAACAAAATTGATATGGTTAGAAAGGCCCATTTATATTATCTGCCCCAGCATCCCAAAAACCTGGAGTCTTTAGAATTCTTCGTATTATAGGCTGTGGGTTGAATCAAAATTTATGGAAGTGATGGTGGCCTGGAGGGTTTGGCCAACCCTTCCCTGCTTCCTGTATCCTCCCTACCCCTACCTTGTTTTGTCTTACTGAAGACTTAAACCTTAAGGTTGGTGTCAGAATTTATTGGAATTTTTCAGTAGCCTTTAAACTGGAGTTTGTTTTGGAAAACAGGCTGAATTCTTGGGACTGCTGTAGATGCTTTAGTTTTTTGTCCTTATATGTGCAATCTCATTCTTAGGGATTGGGTCAGAAATTGATCCCATGAATTTCTTTTCATTTTTTTAGTACTTCCTTACATCAGGCACATTCATTTTTTTTCCTTAAGTGATCCCTAAAAATAGAAAACTTACTCTTCAATTTTAAGTTTTATTTTGATGCAACTTTAAAATAGTATTCCTTTGCTTTAGTCAGTAAATGTATATTTGCTCTTATAAAATTGTCTTACTGTTAAATTCTTAAAAATTGAATTGATTTTTCATTACTTTGGATTTTGTTTTTGTTCTTTCTAGTTTTAAATCACTCTTCAAGTGGTAGCGGGTAGTTTTTAACCTTTGAACTTCAAATGTGTTTTAATGGTTTCTAATTCTCTCCTACCCATAAACCTGACAAGTAAGTAGTTTATATATTAAATATATTAAGGGAGCTGATCTCTAAAGACGTGCTGCTCAAGGTGTGATCCATAGGCCAGCAGCATCTGCGTCACCTTAAAGTTTTGTTAGAGAATCTCAGACCCCACTCCAGACCTACTACAAGAGAACTTGTGTTTTCACAAGATCCCCGGTTGACTTGAATGCATGTTAAAGTTTGAGAAGCATTGTTCTCTAAAGGATTCTTTTAAATTCATTTCCTATCAGCATAAATAATTATCTTTATTCCTTTTGCCTCATCTTAATGTGTTTTGGAATTGGAGTTGATGGAGTTTTACATATCAGTAATAGAATGTACTTATGTAGAATAGTAAAATATTGATGGCTTTCTCTCTTTAAACTTAAAAGTACTTCATATTTTTTTTTTTTGTGGTGAAATGCACATAACATAAAGTTAACCATTTTAAAGTCTACAGTTCATGGCATTTAATACATTTACAGTATTATGCAGCTACCACCTCTCTGGTTCCAAAGCATTCTCATCACCCCAAAATAAAACCGGTACCTATTTAACATCCAATCCTCATTCCTCACTACCCACAGCCCCTGGCAACCACCAGTCTGCTTTTTGTCCTTAAAGATCTACCTATTCTGGATAATTCATATAAATGGAATCCTACATTATGTGGCTTTTGACAAAGTCTGGCTTCTTTCACGTAGTCTTTTTTGGGGTTCATCCACATCACAGAATATATCAACATTTCATTCCTCTTTAAGAATGAATAATCTTCCATTGTATCTATGTACTTTATATTTTACTACTGAAGGAATCTCAGGGTCCCATGAGCCCTCTTGGTGATGAACTCTATCAATGTCTAGAAGATCACAAGAAACAACCTTTTGAGGAATCTGTAAGAAACAATGAAGACAGTTTAAGGTAATTTGGGGCACTTTGGTAGAAAACTTAAGACTATTGGTGAGATCTCATTACAGTGAGTTCTATATAATCAAACTGTTTCTGTCAGCATATAGTTTGTCATTCTGGTTGTATTTATTTATTTATTTATTTATTTATTTATTTATTTATATATAAGCTTCGATGAATTTTCAAGATTGTGTTGCATCTCATTTACTAATTTCAGAACATCCCACTAATAATATATATATATATAAGCGGGCTCCATGCCCAACGTGGGGCTTAAACTCAGGACCCTGAGATCAAGAGTTGCGTGCTCTACCAACTGAGCCAGCCAGGAACCTGTATTAATTTTTATTTTAAAAAATATCTTTCCCATGAGGTCCTTGGGTAGCGAAATCAGTTAAGCATCCTGCTCTTGATTTCAGCTCATATCATGATCTCAGGGTCATGGGATTGAGCCCCAAGTCAGGCTCCATGCTCAGAAGGAGTCTGCTGGAGATTCTCTCTCTCTCTCTCAAATAAATAAATATATAAGTCTTTTAAAAATACATGTGTTCCCCACTTTATGATGAATTGAGGGCCTTTTGCATTACTGTGGAGAGATATTATTTTTTAGGTTCTTTCTGTACTTCTATCAAGCATTATTTAAGAGTTTCCAGCCTTGTTCCTCTGCTTCTATAAAGACCCAGTCATCCCTTCTGTGTTTGTATTTCCAAAAACTAGATGTTATATAAAATGCATCTATAAGCTTCGATGAATTTTCAAGATTGTGTTGCATCTCATTTACTAATTTCAGAACATCCACTAATAATACCTATATTTATGTATTGTCTTGCTTTTTAAAAGTGCTTTTGGTTTTAGATGCATTTATCATCTTTAATTTGTCATCAAAGTAATTCATTAAAGTAGGGTTTTTTTTGTTTTTTTGTTTTTTTAAGATTTTATTTATTTATTTGACAGAGAGAGACAGCGAGAGAGGGAACACAAGCAGGGGGAGTAGGAGAGGGAGAAGCAGGCTTCCTGCTGAGCAGGGAGCCCGATGCGGGGCTCGATCCCAGGACCCTGGGATCATGACCTGAGTCGAAGGCAGACGCTTAACCGACTGAGCCACCCAGGCGCCCCCATTAAAGTAGGTTTTATTACTCCTATTTAGTCAACAAAAATGCGGCTCTACAGAGATTAAATGCCTTATTTAACACCACATAGCTCTTAAGGACTAGAGCCGGAGCTCTTACCTCTTCCACATCTTCAAACTTAAACCTAACACTCTTTCTACTGTCACAGCTGTCTGCTCTGCTGCAGGCAGGCTGGCTCTTAAGTTATGTTCAGTTCTGAAGTAGAAGGATTTTGTTTCTTGAAGTTACTTATGAAGAGATTTCTAACAAAAGAATTTGGGTCTCCAGTGGAATTTATTAAAATACGATTTTCTTAAAAAAAGAAGAAGAAGGTAGCGGGAGGGGAAGAATGAAGCGGGGGAAATTGGAGGGGTAGACGAACCATGAGAGACGATGGACTCTGAAAAACTAACAGGGTTCTAGAGGGAAGGGGGGTGGGAGGATGGGTTAGCCTGGTGGTGGGTGTTGAGGAGGGCACATTCTGCATGGAGCACTGGGTGTTATGCACAAACAATGAATCATGGAACACTTTATCTAAAACTAATGATGTAATGTATGGGGATTAACATAAGAATAAAAAAATATATATGATTTTCTTATATAGTGAAGTTGTTTAAATCACTTAGGAAAAATATTTATGGATAGGAATATCAAGGTATTGAGATAGATTTACGGTATCATTTTCCTCTGCTTTTTGTCAGCCAAATGAAGAAAAGCTGACAACTCTACCCTATTTCAAATGTTGGTTAATCATCTGAATCTAATACATGGCTAAGACCCTTACTATTAATAATTCTGTATTAGTGTAAGTTTTCTCATATGCTTGTCTTATAATTTTTACCCTATTTCTTTAGTAGGAAGAAAGTTTTACCACTCCTTGTTTTTTTTAGATTTTCAGATTCTAAGTCAAAGACTCCTCCTCAAGAAGAATTGACTACTCGGGTATCTTCTCCTGTATTTGGGGCTACCTCTAATGTGAAATGTAGTTTAGGTTTGAATACAAGTTTGTCCCCTTCTCTCTTAGAGACTGGGAAAAAACTTCTGAAAACAGCACCCTTCAACAACACTTCTACTTCTAGATCAGAGAAAACTAGATCAAAATCTGAAGATAGTGCCCTTTTCACACATCATAATCTTGGGTCTGAAGTGAACAAGATCATTAGCCAGTCATCTTCAAATAAGCAGATGCTTATCAATAAAAATATAAGTGAATCCAAAAATGAACAGGATGGTTTTGATCACATTAAAGATGCTGTCACTGATAAAGACAAACATGCAGTACCCCTGAAATCACTGGGAGGCAGAACATCCAAAAGAAAGAAAATTGAGGAAGAAAGTGAAGATGAAGTTAGCTGCCCCCAAGCCTCTTTTGATAAAGAAAATGCCTTTCCTTTTTTACTGGATGGTCATTCTTCTGTGAATGGAGATTATGTGATGGATAAACCTCTAGATCTGTCTGATCGATTTTCGGCTATTCAGCGTCAAGAGAAAAGCCAAGGAAGTGAGACTTCTAAAATCAGATTTAGGCAAGTGACTCTCTATGAGGCCTTGAAGCCCATTCCAAAGGGCTCTTCCTCAAGCCGCAAGGCCTTGAGCGGGAGCTATGTGTTAACCAGAGATTCCCCAGAGGAGCCGTGTTTACAGGAGTGCATCCTCCAGTCCTTGGGTAAATCATCTCCAGATAATAAAACACCACTACAAATCAAGGAAGAAAATCCCATCTTTAAAATCCCTCTACGTCCACATGAAAGTTTGGAGACCGAGAATCTTTTCGATGATGTGAAGGTTTGTGTTAAATGTTCGAGTATTTTTATTAAAATGGTTGTTCATTATTTCATCTAGATGCTAATAATTCTTTCTGTTTAAGGGAACTGATTCTCATGAGCCAGTAAAAATAGCCAGGTCAGTCCGTGGAGCATGTGAACTTACATCCGTTCTTCAGTTAAATCCATGTAGAGTTGCTAAAACAAAGTCTGTACAAAACAGTCAAGGTATGTTTACTATAAATAGTATTTCCACTCTTTTTAAATGATCTCGAGTGTTACACAATATACATTCTTTGGATATATTGAATTGTTTTAGGAAAAACATTTCTTCCTGCATATTTCTGTGCTTACGGGATGATTCTCACTGGTTTCATTTTGCATGTGATTTTCCTGCTCTCATGCTTTTTGAAAAAATGAATTGAGGTCTTTAATACCTACTTTTTAGGTGATTTTGTGGATTACCTATTTTATGTAATTTCTTATTTTCTTTGCAAAAGCTTTACAAATTTTAAACCATGTGGAGTTTTAAAATACATAAAGTAAAATTTTCATCATCCAAACCTTGTTCCTCACCCCACAGGTAGCCTGTCCTTTTTCTTTGCATTTACATATGTATAAACATATGTATATGTACATTTATGTGGGTTTTTAACTTCTTGCTTGAAAATCTTTTTTACTCTTAATTAATAGGTATGTTAATCTTTTCATAATTTTGCTCTGTTTAAAATGAGTCTTTTTGTTTTTTGGCCACCAAATATTTCTGTACTTCCTATGTAGTATTTTTTCTTTTATTCTTTATTGCAAAGTTTTTCCTTTATTCTGGGTTTATTTTCCTTTTTTTCCTGAAGCACATTCTTTAGTGTTCTTCTAGAAGGAAAGAGTTTCAGTCTCTGTATGAAAACACTTTCTTCACTCTCATTTCTGATTTTTTTTACATTTTTGGTTTTGGGTTTTTTTTTCCCTCATGGCTGCTCTAGGGATTATAAACCCTACCTAACCTTTCACAATTTACTTAAAGTTAATATTATGTCACTTTGTGTTCTGTGACTGTGCTTAATGTAGTTGTCATGCATGTGCACATACATTGAAAACTCCTTCAATGTTACAGTTTTAACTTTCTTAAAACAATTTTTGATATAAAAAGCACTCATTAAAGTGTACAAGTCAGTTGTTTTGTATACTCAGTTGTACAACCATTACTGTAGTCTGAGTTTAGAACATTTTTATCGCCTCAAAAAGAATAGTACCCATTAAGTTAATATCCAAAATATGTGAAGAACTTACACAACTCAATACCAAAAACACAAATAATTCAATTTAAGAATGGGTAGAGGACCTGAAGAGAAATTTTTTCAAAGAAGGCATATGGATTGCCAACACACATGAAAAGAGATTCCACATCACTAATCATCAGGGAAATAGAAATTAAAACCACAATGAGATGTCACTTTATACCTGTCAGAATGGCTGAAAGCAAAAACACAAGATATAACATGTTGACAGATGTAGAGAAAAAGGAAGCCTCACGCACCATTGGTGGGAATGCAAATTGGTACCGCTACTGTGGAAAACAGTGTAGAGGTTCCTCAGAAAATCAAAAATAAAATTACCATATGATCCAATAATTCCACTACTGGGTATTTACCCAAAGAAAATGAAAATACTAATTCGAAAAGATACATGGACCCCTATGTTTATAGCAGCATTATTTACAGTAGCCAACATATGAAAGCAACCCAAGTGTCCATAGATAAATGAATGGATTTTAAAAAGATGTGGTTATGTATATACAGTGGAATATTACTCAGCCATAAAAAAGAATGAAATCTTGCCATTTTGCAACAACGCAGATGACCTAGAGGATATAATGCTAAGTGAAATAAGTCAGACAGAGAAAGACAGAAACCATATGATTTCACTTATATGTGGAATTTAAGAAACAAATAAACAGAAGAGGCAAAACCAAAGCAGACTCTTAAATACAGAGAACAAACTGATTGTTGCCAAGGGGGGGGGGGGGGGGGGAGGGAATGAGTGAAACAGATAAAGGGGATTAAGAGTATACTTTCTTGATTAGCACTGAGAAGTGTATAGAAATGTTGAATCATATTGTATATCTGAAACATATATAACACTGTATGTTAATTATATTTGAGGAAAAAACTTTTTCTAAGTAAAGAACAATACCCATTAGCAATCATTCTGCATTCCTCTCCCCTCTTCCCCAATTCTAGGCAACCACTAACCTACCCTCTGTCTCTGTAGATTTGCCTATTCTGGTGTTTTCATATGAATGGAATCATACAATATATGATATTTTGTGACTTATTTTATTTTCACTTTTTTCACTATTAAAAATAATGCTTGCTATGAACATTGATGTACAATTTTATGTAGATGTATGTTTTCATTTTTCTTGAGTTACATATAGGAGTAGAACTGTTGGACCATATGCTAACTCTCTTTAACCTTTTGAGGAACTATGTGTTTTCCAAAGTGTCTGTGTCATTTCACATTCTCACCAGCAGCTGGTGAGGTTCCCATTTCTCCACATTCTCACCAATACTTGTTATCTGTCTTTTTGATTCTAGCCATCCTGTTGGGTGTGAAGTATTATCTCATTGTGGTTTTGATTTGCCTTTCCCTGATGGCTACTGCTGTTGAGCATCTTATCATGTGCTTATTGGCCAGTTCCCTTCTTTGAAGGACTGTCTATTCAGATTCTTTGATCATTTTCATTTGGGGTATTTGTCATCTTATTGAGTTGTGAGAGTTCTTTATATGTCCTAGATACAACCCTGTTAGCAGATAATGATTTGCAAATCTTTTTTCCCATTCTGTGGATCCCATAACGTTTTAAAGTAATAAGAATGTTTAAAATCCATTTTAATTGTACTTTTTTCTCCTTACTGAAGATGTATCCTTTGAAAATATCCAGTGGAGCATAGATCCAGGAGCAGACCTTTCTCAATATAAAATGGATATTACTGTAATAGATACAAAGGTAAGTTAGAAAGTAAAACCAAGGCCCATGTGGTTTTTCTAGTAAGTTGTTAGTCACCCTCTTCCCCTAACTTATTCTGTGACCTTAAGATAATCACATACCTCTTAAAACCTGATTTATTTATTCAGAAAAGAAATAAAAATGCTTATTTTTCTAACTTTATGGTATTTTTGAAAGGGTAATAATACCTTCTGACTTTAAAGGCCTTAGCTGGGACACCTTGCGGGGGGGGGGTCAGTCAATTAAGCGTCTGACTCTTGATTTCAGCTCAGGTCATGAGATCAAGCCCCACGTTGGGCTCTGCACTGGGTATGGAGCCTACTTAAGATTCTCTCTCTCCCTTTCCCCCTACCCCTCCTCTTTCTTTCCCTCTCTAAAGAAAAAATTCTAAAAAAGGCCTTTGCTGGAAAATATTATTATAGTTTTAAAATAATGAAAAATGCTAGTTACATATTTTAATAATTATATACATATATTTCTTAAAGATTTATTTGAGAGAAAAAGCAAGCACGAGTCAGGGGAGAGGCAGAGGGACAAGCAGACTTCTCATTGAGCAGGGAGCTCGACGCAGGGCTGGATCCCAGGACTCTGGTATCATAACCTGAGCTGAAGGCAGACACTTAATTGACTGAGCCACGCAGGTGCCCCTTAATAATTTTATATTTTATCAAAATAATTCATCATATGCCTTGATTAACTTTAAAAATAATGTTACCATCAAGAAAAAAATTCATTTTCCTAGTTGGCTATTTTTTAAATACTGTATATTTCTTTAAAAATTAAAATTCTGGGGTGCCTGGGTGGCTCAGTCAGTTAAATGTCCAACTCTAGATTTTGGCTCTGGTCATGATATCAGGGTCGTGAGATCGAGCCCTGCATCCAGTGTGGAGCCTGCTTACGATTCTCTGTCTCCCTCTCCCTCTGCCCCTCCCTACCTCTTAAAAAAAATAATAAAATTAAATGAAAATCCCTAGTGGAAATAACTCTTTTGGCTTGTATTTAGGTTCTACATAGTTTGAGAAGTTCTCTTTCACTTGGGAGCATATTAATGAAGTATTTAACTTGTTATAGTATGAAATTTGTTGTGTGTACACTGATATTCATTACTGTGAGACCAACTGGAGAAGAAAGGGAGGAGAAGCCCAGGGAGTTCAGTAGTGCACAACTCTCCCTTCCTTGACATCAGTCTTTCTTTTCATGGGCTTGAGAGAGGATGCTTGTATATTGAAGCTAAAATGTTTTACAGGCAATAAAACCTAAATCTGTATATTCTTAAGGTAAAAATAAATATAACTTCATGCTACTGAAATGTATACTTAAAATATGGTAAAAATGACAAATTTCATGCTGTGTATATTTTACCAGAATTTTTAAAAAGTAATATATAAGGCCATGCGGGATAATTGTTAAAATTTTTGAATTTTTAAATATTTAGGATGGCAGTCAGTCAAGACTAGGAGGAGAGACAGTGGACATGGACTGCACATTGGTTAGTGAAACTGTGCTTTTAAAAATGAAGAAGCAGGAGCAGAAGGGAGAGAAAAGTCCAAGTAAGATTTGATTTCTTTTTTTTATTTAATAAAAATGTGGAAGGAAGTTTATAGTTGTACCATTGCATTGATGACCACAAGTTACCTCTTCACCATAAACCAGGTATTTTTTTCCTCTTCTGATAAATAGATTTCTCTCAGTAAAGCTCAGTTTCAGTATTTCAAGGGAAAAAAATCTTTAGCCAAAATCTTTTTTTTTCCAGGAAGAATTCAAATTGTTTCCAGGATTCAGCAAACCACAGCCAGCTGCCAGTTTTATAAATAAAGGTTTATTGGAACACAGCTTCACTTATTTGTTTATGTGTTGCCTGTGGCTGCTTGCATGGTACCACAGCAGAGCTGAGTAGTAGCTGCAGACCTTATTGGGCCCACAGGCCAAAAATATTTCCTGACTGACCCTTTAAGAAAAAGTTTGCTGATCCCTGATATTATCCCTAGATAATTTTTTGTAGAAGGGAATCTTGAGAGTCCTGTTTTAGAAATAGGAATTTGCAAAGCAATTTGATAAGGTGAAAAGGGGAGAGTCTACTGAGAAGTATTTGTATAGACTTGTAAATCAGCAGTAAACTAAGAATAATAGTGTATATGCTGAGTTACCCTGCCATATTCTGCTTCTACAGAAAAGGGGATTTGGCCTTTTGTGGTAACAGACTATTAATTCTTCATCTAAAGTCTTGATTTTCCAAAAGAGGCAGGAACAGTGGAAGGATTTTGGTTGGCACCACCTTAGCAACATCCCTAACTACAGAGGCATATGGCATGAGATCAACTAGCCCAGGAAAGTGTCACTTACACTCTTACGTTGAAGGGTTAGGACCTGCCACAGGGTTGCAGAGCCAAAAGCAAGGACATTTTCCAGTGATCATCTGTTAGAAACTGAAGACAGTCTATATGTACATTCCTTATCTTGTTCTGAATAATCTGTAATCTACCTGCCTGGGGCTGAAGCCAATCTTGTCCCCACTTCTTTTGAAACACTATCTCAGGATGCCTGGTGGCTCAGTCAATTAAGCGTCTGACTCTTGGTTTCAGCTCAGGTCATGATCTTAGGGTCATGGGATTGAGCCCCGCATGGGGCTTCCCTCCTCAGCGAGTAGCCTGCTTCCCCTCTCTCTCTCCCTCTGCCCCTCTCCCCGCTTGTGCACCCTCTCTGTCTCTCTCTTTGACTCTCTCTCTCCCAAATAAATCTTTTAAAAAAGAAAAAAAGAAACACTTTATCTCTTGCTGCCCTAACTGCAGTAAGTGAGGAAAAATTGTAGTAGTCTTTGCCTTAATTATTTGTTCTTTAAGAATGAGTAACCATACAATCAAGTAGCTGGCTGCCTACTTTGAAAGGCCTACCTATTAAAAGAAAAAACCTTAACAGTGATTTATTGTCCTTTATAGTGAATGACACTTAAGTAACTTTCTTCTTAAGAAGGTACTTTGCTTTTAAGATTATGTCTGGTACCAGCTTCTGATAATGTTTTCCTTATTTCTGTTAAAAAAAAAGAAAAGGTAAAACTAAAGTATGACTACTTTGGCTTCAAATTTATCTAGTTAATTCAAAGAATATGATGGTTTCCCAAATATGTTTGAAGCAAGTATCATGTGGAAGTGAGGTTAGAATTTGAACTAATGAGTGGAGACAGTTTTGGCTACATAAGATATTTTGAGTACTATTGCTATCATAATAAACCACTCCAATAACTTAAAGGATTAAAACAACAGTCATTTTCTTATCTTTCATAGTTTCTATGGTTCAGGAATTCAGGAAGAGTTTGGCTGGATGGTTCTGTCCCAGGGTCTCTTATGCAGTTGTAGGCAAATGGTAGCTAGAGCTGGAACAGCAGAGGGGTAGACAAGCTGAGGGTGGCTTGGCATTTCTCTTCATTTAGTTTCAGGGCTTCTCTATATGGACTTTCCACGTGGGGTAGTTTGAGCTTCCTCATCACATGGAGACTAGGTTCCCAGAGTCAGCATCCCAAAAAGAACAAGGCAGAAGTGCATGGTATTTTTATGATCTGGCCTCAGAAGTTGTATAGTGTCACGAAGACCTACCCAAGTTCAAAGCAAGCAAGCAGCCCTTCCCACTCAGTGGAGGAGTGTAAGACCAGCACCTAGGATAGGAGATATTCTTAAAGCCATATGTGGAAAAAGATAGTCCCGTGCATTTTACCCATAAGGTAGATCTTTTTAATACTTAGAATTGGTTAAAAATGAATCATACCAATAAAATCCCCCAATGACTGCTAATATTTCAGTTCAAAAATATGTTTTATATTTCTACTGTGTATTAGACTTCCCAGATGCTGTGATAGAAAGATTAATAAGGATATAGTCTCTGTTGTCAAGTATTTCAGTCAGAAGTCAGACCAAAAAAAAAAAACAAACTAGTGGGGCACATGGGTGGCTCAGTTGGTTAAACGTCTGACTCTTAATTTCGGCTCAGGTCATGATCTCAGGATGGTGGGATTGAGCCCCACATTGGGCTCCATGCTGGGTGTGAAGTCTCCTTAAGATTCTCTCTCTCCCTCTCCCTCCTACTGCTCCCTCCCTGCTCACACTCTCTCTCTCTTAAAAAAAAAAAAAAATTTTAATTAAAAAGATAAACTAGTGATTTAACATTGTGAATTATTAACAGCATATACAGAATACTTTGGGAATACCTACCTAACACACTGCCTAACACATAGAAATTGTATATTATTTACAAATTTGATCCTCAGTGTGAAAAAAAATAATGTTTAATCATTCAGTAAATATTGAGCTTCAATTCTATAAAGGGAAGTGTTTCAGGAACTGGAAATAATGAGTAAACAGAACAAAAGTACCTACTTCGTGGAACTTACCTTCTAATTTAAGGGGAGAAATAATCAAATATGTGGTATAATAGGTGATGCTAAGTTCTGGAGAAAGATAAAATAGGGTAAGGGTGCTAGAGCACCATGGATAGGGGGAGGTGGTGGTTATTTTATAGAGAGGAATCTGAGCAGGCTTCTGCTCTATCATGTGTGTTAGCCAACTGGATCTATTTCTGTTTTTTAGTAAACTACCATTTTTCAAAATGTGATTATATAGTGGGAACTGTACTTAGTAATCTGAGGATGAATTTAGCACTTAACATATCAAATGAGGAATTGAATTCATTATTTCTAGCACTACTCAACTACCAAGTGTTATTGATGATGTAATAAAATACTTTTTTTGCTACCACATTAGAAAAATAAGCAGATGAGCAAGTTCTATAGATTTTAATGTCAGTTATTTATACACATTTTATTTAAACTTAATATTTTTCATCATTCATTATGATGCATTTTCTATTCCTCACAGTTTTTTGGTAGGACTCGTTTTAGTGTAGTATGAATTATACATGAGCTAATAGGGAGAAAAAGATTTTTATGTATGTAATGACAACGACAAACATTCTCTTCACATGAATAAATGACATTTAAAGCCCTAACATAAAGTCTTTGTAAATATAGTAACTATCTAGACTTGGGGGTTTACTGTTGCCCCATGTACATCCTAGGCAAGTGTATTTTGTGGCGGTTACTACAAGTTTCACATTGGTCTATGTAGAAAGCAAAAAGCTTGTTGCCCTAAGCCAATGCTCTTTTACATAGATGGAGAAAGAAAAATGAATGATAGCTTGGAAGATATATTTGATCGGACAACACATGAAGAATATGAATCCTGTTTGGCAGACAGCTTCCCCCAGGTGGCAGATGAAGAAGAGGGATTGTCAACTACCACAAAGAAACCAAACAGTAAGGCTTTTTTCTTTCTAATTATGGCTTCTCAGTTACACTTAGGTTCAGTAAATTAAGTCAGCGAGCTAGTTAACAGAGACTTGATGGGGTATATATTAATAATTAAAATTTCATATTTCTTGTATAAATTTCTTTTAGATAGTGAGATAATTTCAGACCAACAAAAGAGTTACAAAAAAATAGCTCAGAGGAAAAAAAAATAGTTCAGAGGATTCCCTGTACCTTTCATTCAGCTTCCCCTTATATTAATATGACCATAAAATATTCATCAAAACTAAGAAATTAATCTTGATTGAATACTACAGATTTCTTTATAACTTGCGCATAAAATTCATAAAGTTTTGAGAACATTCTTTGTTAAGTAATAATCATTGTAATAGAGTTGGAAGGAGAAAGTTTTACAGAAAATTCAGACTAATTTTCTGTTTGAATGTTTTACCTTCCCAGACAAAATAATGTAACTATATGTATCTGTCTTTTTAAAATTTTTTTTTTTTTTAAGATTTTATTTATTTGCGAGAGAGAGAATGAGAGACAGAGAGCATGAGAGGGAGGAGGGTCAGAGGGAGAAGCAGACTCCCTG